CTGGTTCCCATATCCGCCCCTGATGAAGGCTGGTGATAGACAAGGTTGTAACTGATTGTTGTTACAACCTAATAATATTAAGCTTATTTAATCAGCATTCTTTTTTGCTCTCTATAAGTAAGACACATATATGAAGGTTAAGATTACAAAATTAAGGCAGCATTTTTGATAATGAACATAACATAATCGAACCAGGCCCTGTATAAAGACCAGGGATTTACTTTGCGTTACACTAGTTAACTCAGGAGGATTTATTAATGTAGAAACCTTTTCCTCATTTTTTATTGAATTTCATCTTGAAATCGAACATTCTTCAGTTGAACTTCTTCATTTCATTTCTCAATATCACTGTGTGGTTAAGAACACCTTAGTCAAAAGTATCAATTTTTCCTTAATACAGGGCGAGCCAAAAAGGTAACCCAAACAAATCTTAATAATCCAGCCCAATCATCCTGCATGGATTTAGTGTCATATTTGGCAGAATTGAGTCTTGGTCAATGTATTATCAATCTACCCAGACTCAGTGGTCTCTAGTGGTCACGATTTAATGGCCATTTTATACCATGCCATGAAATATGGGTGTCATGCCTGGAGGCCAACTTGAACGTATCGTGCGTTGCTGTTCAAATCAGGAGCATAAAAATCATGTGTTATGACTCTCATCTTCATTCTTATCTCTTGTTTTAATGTTTCAAGTGTTGTTAGTATCGAAAAAAGGTCCACAGATAAAAAAACTGGTGGTATTGATGTCAAGTCAGGTAGGCACATTTCGATATTTTGAGCACATTTTGTAAATGACCATAAAATCGTGACTATTAAGGATAGATCAATGACACTTAGTAGAATGAAAGAACATTGAACAAGGTAATGTGCCAAATATGATGTCAAACCCATGCTGAATGACTGGGTTATTAACAAACATTTGGTTGGGTTACCTTTTTTGGCTCATATTAATAAACTGATGTCAGGGACAGGGATATTTAACATTTTGTTGCCTTTTCAAGGACATTTTTTGACCACTGATTGTAACAAATCGTTCTCTGTTTTACCAGAAAAGGTATATAATATATCAAATTGAATTTAAAAGGAAAAAACATTTGATAATTTAACAGTTATCAACAAAAAGTAGGGCTTCCCCTATATTTCACCTGGCATTTGCTGTTTTTCTACTTTTTTTTTTACATAATCCTTTCCTGAAAACCTCAAAAAACTGTTTTCAGGACAAAATAAGCCTTTACAAATAATTTAGTTGTGCTATTGAGTTCAAATATGACATATCTTGGAAGTAATTAAACAAAAGTAAGGTCACCCCAAAAGTGGGTGTGGTAAAATATTGAAATTTCAAATATTATTTTCACGCTCAATATTCACTTAATGACCCTGATACTTATCAAAGACAATGTTCAGGTGTACAATACCCTCCTTGATATTTTTCATGCAATTCTGATGAATTGATACAGAAATAAATACATTGTTATATTAAATTCGGGCTATTTGATGGCCTATTTTCAGATATTTGGCGCTAGAAATGCCAATTATTGCACTCAAATAGTTGGTTAACAATTTTCAGTTGCTCTTATGTCAGTAAACTATCATAATATTACTAGTTTAGTTGACAAGAGTATTCCATTTTGAAATAAAAAAATATTTACAATCCCATACTCAAATTTGGAGGGGGGTACCTGGAATGTGACATTTCATATTTGTCCACTGCATATATTTTTCTATATTTTTGATATGTTTTTCAACTGGTATCAATATACAATATAAGCCTAATTTAAAAACTGTTGCAATTTTTGGGATGTTAAACTTCCATTTGCCTAGCCTATCAAGGTGGGAAACCATATCGTCCTATTTCTTGGCACGAGGGGTCAGAAATTGGTACTTCGCCCAAGATTACATACCCTCTAAAGCAAAAATGTTTAACAACGATCATTTTAAGTAAAATAAGTTTTCAAAATTATGAACACTGGCGCCTTAAATATGTCAGAATATCAACAAGAAGAGATATCGAGGAAGTTCAAAATGGATTCATTTGGACAATAAAGATTGTGAACCAAAATGCATTCATCATATAGAATCATAAATATAAGTTTTCAAAAACAAATAGTACCGGTATATCTCGTATTCAATTGTGTTTACATAAGTACAGAAGTAGTTAGTATCTTGAATAAGTTGAATATTTCAAAAAGTTTATCATTCCAACAGAATTTTTAAAAAAAACATGAGCTCTAATGAATGTTCAATTCAAATCAAAGCATTGTACTAGTGAAATAATTAAAGTCAGAACTGTTGAACCTTTTTAAAGTAGGCGTGCCATGGAATCTATATCTACGTACAATGTTAAAATTGTTGGCTACTACAAGAGATAGACTTGCTGTCCTTATTCATATGCTCCTTCAAGAACCCACATAATGAATATGGTGCTTCATGATGATCACCCCTCTGCAGTCAAAATAAACCATAATCTATAAAATGTACTTATTGTATTCTAGCTTATTCACTCTTGGTCCATGTTGCAAATATTGGAATGCCCAAGATAATCGGTCTGTGCTGCTTGCTAAGGTCATTTATGTTAACAAACCTAAGCCAAAATATGCATAGTAAGTTTATAAAAAAAGAAACTAAACTCAATATACACTGTGCAAAATGTGGAGAATCGCACAGAAACAGAGAGGTATATCACATTCACAATATTAACTTTGAATCAGACAACATCGTGAGGTTTTAGGCCTTTTTTATTGATACTACTGGGTGGTAAAAACGGCAATCCTGCATATTCTTCATTTCTTTGTAATTTTATGTATTTACTACCTGATATAGCACACATTATTATGTAAATCATTCATTTTCTATGAGCTATATTTTCTTTTGTGATAAATGGATGTTAACCCTTTGATACGCCTATAGACTTCGAGACTTAATTTGTCTTTCACACATCATTTGAGACTGAATGCTTGTATGAATACTAAATCTATCATCTACAACTATATTAAAATATGTTAACCAAGATAATACCATTTGTTGGACTATACTTATGATTTTTGCAGACTTTTGATATAAAGGTACATTGAAAAGCACATGCAACTACATAACATAAGTGGCAACGGACTGTTCAAACTTGCTGAATGCAAATGTTAAAACTTTAAATAAATGTATGGAATTGTGATGAGTACACATTAGCTCAACAGAAAAGAATTAATCGTGATTTACCTTAACCTTACCAGTTCTTTAAAAATGCAAGTCATTGGGGGTATCCATTTTCGCAAGTCACTCGTCCGGTATTTAAACAGTTGTTTTGTGAATCTAAAAAGCCACCAAATGTTTTGATTTCATTTAAATATCGTGATCGACAGTACGCATGAACTTATATGAAATTCCATATTAAGTGCAGTGTTTTGAACAAGAGCGTCGTTTTGCAGGGTACAAAATGTTTTTCCTCTTGTGATTTGTTGAACACGCATCATATGACTTGAAATACTCTTTGATATTCCCCCGTGATGGCAGATAAGCTAATTGAACACGCATCATATGACTTGAAATACTCTTTGATATTTCCCCGTGATGGCAGATAAGCTAATTGAAGACGCATCATATGACTTGAAATACTCTTTGGTATTTCCCCGTGATGGCAGATAAGCTAATTGAACACGCATCATATGACTTGAAATACTCTTTGATATTTCCCCGTGATGGCAGATAAGCTAATTGAACACGCATTATGACTTGAAATACTCTTTGATATTCCCCCGTGATGGCAGATAAGCTAGTTGAACACGCATCATATGACTTGAAATACTCTTTGATATTCCCCCGTGATGGCAGATAAGCTAATTGAACACGCATCATATGACTTGAAATACTCTTTGATATTCCCCCGTGATGGCAGATAAGCTAATTGAACACGCATCATATGACTTGAAATACTCTTTGATATTCCCCCGTGATGGCAGATAAGCTAATTGAACACGCATCATATGACTTGAAATACTCTTTGATATTTCCCCGTGATGGCAGATAAGCTAATTGAACACGCATCATATGACTTGAAATACTCTTTGATATTCCCCCGTGATGGCAGATAAGCTAATTGAACACGCATCATATGACTTGAAATACTCTTTGGTATTTCCCCGTGATGGCAGATAAGCTAATTGAACACGCATCATATGACTTGAAATACTCTTTGATATTCCCCCGTGATGGCAGATAAGCTAGTTGAACACGCATCTTATGACTTGAAATACTCTTTGATATTCCCCCGTGATGGCAGATAAGCTAAGATAACGTAAGATCGTTTTGAAGAGCGAATGTTTCCTACATCCCGTTTTTAATATCTCTCCTCCAGAACCAATACCTTTAAAATATATATTCCTGAGCTAGAGAAAAATAAAAGATGAATAGTGAGGAGGAGGTTTGTGGGAAATGCGATGTGAAGGCATATACAATGGAAGAATTGTATGGAGGGAGTGAGGGCCATACTTATTAGGAGATAGGGGGTTGGGTTGCATTGAAATGAGAAGAGTCTACTTTGGGAGAAAAGGAAAAAAGATGTGGCTGCTGAACGGTCACACAACATGGACCCACCTAATGCCTTGGTCACATATGCTCCGATCTATCGGCTGGCGCCCGGCCGATTGAGTGTTTTGTTCAATATTGTTTTCAATTTTGAACAGAATACTCAATCGGCCGGGGGCCGTGGTGAAAATCGGAGCAAATGTGACCAAGGCATTAGCCAACCATCCGCAAACATTACATCTGAAATGTAACGCTTTCAATATTATTGAAAAAACAGCAGGCAAGCTTCTTGTCTTGATTTATTTTCCTTAGCCCTTATATTGCTACTGAAATCTAAATATTTCCAATAGCAATTGGTAAGTAAAATTCGAATAGTACAAACGCGTTTTATCATTGGCGACAAGTTAAATATTATATTGCAATGGAAAGAGGGGGTAGCATTTTTTCCAGGTTGTAAATCATTCTTTGATCCTAGATTAGCTATTCATTGACTGGAAAAAACAGCGTTGCGTCGTGTCGGGTGTAAATAATATCATTTATATTTATTTGAGTCTCAAACCATATATGCTTTTGGTCTTGTGTAAACTCGACCTCAAGGTAAGGGACATAAACCAAATCAAACATGTCATTTGTCCGATGTGCACCTATATAATATATACACTCCAATCGACACCTCTGGAAACCAAGTAGTACCATATTAGATAAACTATGTCCATTTTGGGATTATATAGTCTCTCATCTATATACCTGAATATTGAATAATAACGAATTATTGTATGTAGGTTATTATTTGAAAAGTGGACCAGTCCTCCAAAGACGTATACAAAAACTTTAATCATCGTGGCTAACCCAGCTCCAAGATCTTCCTGTAAATACATATTTCTGATACAATCGTTGTTCGATTCATCATTCCATACAAAATAAGTATTAGAATAAAAAATCAATGAAACACACAATTGCCTATTTTCGAAAGTTGAAAAACCCAGTCTTAGGTTAATAACTGCTAAAACATTGACTAAAATAGGTATTATCTTTATCAGATATAAATTCCACAATGCATTGAGAAAATCGGGTGTTTCCAAAGTTGTGAGCTATTGTGTTTGCATGTAAAAGACCCAGATTCTGACTTGCTTCGTGACAACCAGTATGCAAAATACATAATAGTGTAAACAAATGAATCACGTGATTCATCTATAAAAGAGACAGCGCGAAATAAAAAGTACATTTAGATCAGCGAGATTACGGGACCCAATTCGAATTATGAAGATCTTCATCGTATTTGCGTTGATAGCCATTGTGCATGGTTGTCAGAAAAGTGGTGGTAAAGGAGACGCAGGACACAAGGGGGATGGTGACAAGAAAGACAGTTATGAAGACAAGAAAGACAGTTATGAAGACAAGGGCGATGGATATGGAGACAAGGACGGTATGGATGGCAAGGATGGAATGGATGACATGGGTATGAAAGACATCGACTGGGACAATGAAGAAGCTGTTAAGAAGATGATTGCTGGTATGCCTCCAAAGGGAATGCCAATGAAGTTATGGATGTACCACAAGCGCAAGATTATGGAATGGGATTCCGACAATCTCATGAAGAAAAAAGGCAAAACTCCCCGAGAAGTGTTTGAGAAGAAAATGTACATGTAAGTAATAACTTTCTGATTGCTTCGAACAATCATATAATGAAAATATATGTGCATTGATAATTGAAATGACACACAGACCACAGCAAAATATGAATGGAACTCATTGATTATGTTCTAATTCTTGTTATCATTTATTTTCCAGGAAGAAAAACACTATTCTGTTTGGTCTGACTGAGAATCCATACAGTTTTATGAAGAGGTAGATGTTTGATATATATTGGTCATCGTGTACAAAATAAGACTATTGTATTGTTAAAAATATGTTTATAGCTTGTATTTCCTAATAAAAACATACAAATGCGATATGATAAAGTTCAAATGAGAAAATGAATTTCTCAAACGAGAAGATTTTTGAACACAGCCATGAGTAGTATTTTATTTTACAAAGTTTATCTGAATAATATGTTTTCCTACATACAGGGACTTTAATAAAAAGGCAGGTGTATCAGGTTTCATCCCTTCGCTCCTCCACAAGACATGCAATTATTGCGGACTCAAATGCGCAGGCGTGTACGTCAAAGATAGTAAAAAATGCTTTGATGAAACAGACCTTTCTAGCGAAGGTAAGATGAATGTTCAGGAAAACGTTGATCTTTCTGTATTTAAATTAAGTGGCATGGTTACTTATTTTAAAATATTTTGTTAGGTGTCGTTCTTTACCATATGTAGAGCACTTTTACACATAGATAGGCATGCATTACCACATTATGACCAATCAGAACACAATACTATGTAAGTGTGAAATGCTGATGCATCGCAGCATGTATGCCATGCTACTATCATAACATTAAATGGAGGCTAAAGGCAAAATGTTATATTTAGTTATACATGTACAAACTTATCATTACAGGGTTGAACAACAAGCAGTTCCACGCATGTCCCGGGGTACCACACACCATGCAAACCGCAGCTGCCTTTAATGTCTCGATACCCATGTTAAAGACCTCTAAATCGCAGTTCTACATTAGACCAACCACTACCGACATAACTAGCATGGCTGACTTGAATGGGAAAAAGATCGGTACGATTTACAACTTTACTTTCACTTTTGTCTCACGGTGACTTTGTTTTCTGTACATGAGAAATCAGTTTATAACACCTTGGTGATTGCGAAAAACACTCAAACTTTACCGATGTAATATTATACGTACATTTAGATATTATTCCGTGTCATGTTGTTTTAAATGTAAATCTAACTGCAAGCCCCTGTGACTCCTCACCCACAACTTGACTACACAGGTATGAAAACATCTCACACAGGAGAGTCGTGTGAGGGGGGGGGGGGGCAAAGGCTTGTAGCTAGATATTTTAGATATGTTAATGTGAGTAATGGATTCAATCCTGACTCCACATTGAATGGCCTGTTTATGCTTCTAATTGAATTGCTTCCTTCAATTACATTAAAGGGGCAACAAAGACTGTAGAGAGAAAATTCGAAAATTTTTATTTTTTCTGAGCTATCAGATCAATATTTAGCTTAACATTTTCTTTGACATACCTATTTTTTAAAATTATGGATAAACTATCAATATCAGCATTAAGAAGTGTAAATTCAGTTCAAAAATTATATAAAGGGATTCCCTCTTCTAGATTTTTATAATTCACCACGTTTCAAGAGGAATATCAGCTGAAATAATGTTCATCCAGCCAACACGTGATAAAACGATGTATTTTATTTCTCCGCGTATGATCTGCATTATGTATTTCTAAAAGTTGACACATATACCATACGTTTATACACAACATAAATGATTACAATGCCCTTTGTTTTAGGTGTTATGGGAAAGGGATATATGAATGAGGATTGTCTCCGTCGCATGATGGCTAAAGCTTTGGCTGCTGATGTCGAAATAACTGCAGAAATAATCGCCGCTGACACGAAAGAGGAAGTAGTTAAGCTTCTTACTGATAGAAATGTAAGGCTTTAATTTTTACAATTCGGCTTGGCAATTTATTGTTACAACTTACAGGGTGGAAACAACGGAATGCAAATCATAAATGAATTAAAAAGATTATTCAAAAGGAAATAAGGATAATATGATGTACCTTGTTTAAGGTTATTCCATTCCCAACTTAATAACATAGTAAAGCAGGGGTTAGTTTTATTTGGTACATTGCAGCAAAATATGTGAACCCATTTGTTCTAAAATTTGATTGATTGGTCGATCTTTTGTCTGTTTAGTAGACTGAATGCAATGATATGCTTTGTCATACGAGTGTATCTACCTGTATTATTAAAATCAATTTAAATGATTGTTAATTTGTCTAAATTTAAACATGTTTGTACAAATCCAGCTTTGCAAGTGAAAGTAAAAGATATCATCGTCAATAATGAGAAATACCGACACTTATTTATCACTAAACTGTGCAAATTAATGTATTAAACATTTCCAAATAGGTGGAAGTCGTGCTTGGACCAGAGATTTCCGACGCTCTTCCCGCAGATTTGAAAACGTCTCTCGAAGGCCTGAGGCGTATGGGCGAACCCTTCCAATGCGCGCATGGTAGAGGTCTTCTTCACCGAAAAGACGTCGATTTCTCCGTCTTTACAATGTGTTATTACTACGCTGTCATCAAGAACGGTCTCTACGACGAGATGGCCGAAAAATATGGTAGGTTACTTAAAAGATTTAGCCTTTTGCCAAACTATGATCTATATCAAACACCGTATTGAGGTTACTGTAGTATTTCTTCGACTGTACATTATTACTCAAATCGATGGCACAAAAGGTACAATACAACAATTTGTCGTTACTGGTTTATGACTGATTTCATTTTTTGTCATATATACAAGTAGTTATTTTTATATAGATATTCAACGTAAATAAGGTGCTCGTTTATTCGTTAAAATAAACCTTTATTATACTTATGAAAATCAAACATAAACGTTAAAGTAACCATTTAATATTTTATTTTCAGGCATTCCCGAAATGGCTCGCGTCAATTACAAGAAGTATATGGAAAGTGGAGGAATGGAAATGTAATATCGAAGCATAAGGGAACACCTTATCTAACATAAGGGAACACTTAACGACTCTAGTAGACTGAACACTTGGAAATTCATAATGTATCGTATTGTATTTCATTTTGTAATATAGACGATATCTCGTATGAAGGTAGAAAACCAATTTGTGAGAGTATTATCCTACTCACCAGTGTTTTCACAATTAAAACTACATACCTTGGAAATCCAAGATGTTTTAAGTTGCAACAATTGGACACTCTTTGAATAATCTTAGCTTATATGGTATCTATCTTTACATCTCACATATTCTTATTAATAGTCATTCATCATAAAAATAATTTCCGTCGATTGTTCAAGCCATCTTCGTGAACCTTAGCAAGCTATATACAAAATAATACTTGTAATGTTGTCTACTTTTAAGAAGTAAACACATTTTATCCTTGTCTAATAAAATACATTTCGACTAAGTTTGAATTATTTTGTAAGTCATAAATATATATGCTAGATATGATGATAATATTTTGTACAATATTGTATTCAATTTTGAACAAAATACTCAATCGGCCGGGTGCCGTGGTGAAAATAGGAGCAAATGTGACCAAGGCATAACTAGACTAGTTTTTCCAGTCATATCAAATCTCCAAAAGTTATTTTTAACTACATGCTTGTAATGATGTACTTTGTAGAGTCACAATCGATAATTGAATATACCTTCTAACGTATCTATAAGTAAATAGGTCATGTTGTGTAAAATGAAATAAAATGGCGAGGGATGTTTTTTTCAACGCGAAAAGTAAACGGACACGCGCATTCAGATCCCACTCTGATCAGCAAATTAATATGATATTTATACATTTTGGTGATTTTTCATTTGATATTTTTAACCATTTTGGTTACATGTTCATAATGGCCGTACCCATCCACACATGTTGGCATGTTGGAATACATGGAAACACAATTCGTGAACTTGGTTTGGTCTCATCAACATTTGCTTCATTTAACGCATATTACATTATTACTTATATTTGTAACAGATCCAAAGAGAGGAAGCAGATCGCAGATATATTTCAAAAGTCAGTAAAATTTCAAATTACTGAATCAGACAAGCGCATCTACAGTATCTCCTTTTTGAGTCATTTTAACATGAGAATCCACAAATAGCGTTTTGCATAAATGTCCTGCTTCCGCGGTCATTCTGTTATGGAAACCACCGTACCATTGAACTGGAATGACCAATAATACAAAAGATTTTGTCCATAAGCCAATAAAACAACAAAGTCAAAGCCGGTGAAAAGGCGACATACCAGGGGCGGATCGGATTTTTGGCCCAAATTTTTTTGGGCCCAATTTTTTTTCTGGGCCCCTGCCCCCCCCCCAGATCCACCAGTGCATACTGTACATGTATGACCCTCTTAATATCTTTACATACCCCTTGTAATAGACCTTTTTACAATCACGATCGATATAGATCGGATACGAGTTCCGACAAATGATATCGAATCCCGACTTATGCTAATATTATAGGACAAGTTTCTATTTGCAATGTTAATTTTAGCGATTATTTACAACCTCATCCTTTTGCCAAGAGCACACACAATTGGCAGTTTTTAAGCTAGATCAAACAAGTTTGTCTTGCTAACACTTAAGGTGCCATGGAAGTATGTATATTGGGTACAATTTCTGAAAAAGTCAAAAGATTCTGTTCAGTGACCTTTCCTGAGCACCTACTCTTAGCTATTTTTCAGTCACATTTTCAGAGGGCTGAAAAGGTTATTTCATCCTGTTAATGGTCATTCTGACCATTTCCTTTGTGTTTCCGGTCATGTAAATGATATGTGGAACTAGTTAAACTGACTGGAGGTCCAAACAGAATTCTGTTATCTTGGTTCAAAACATTTTCACAATCCAGTATGGTTTTGTCACTTTTTGCTTTGTCATTTCCTGTTAACTTCCATGGCACCTTAAGTGTTAGCAAGACAAACGTGTTTGATTTAGCTTAAAAACTGTCAATTGTGTGTGTTCTTGGCAAAAGGATGAGGTTGTAAATAAATCGCTAAAATTAATATTGCAAATAGAAACTTGTCCTATAATGTTAGCATAAGTCAGGATTCGATATCATTTGTCGGAACTCGTATCCGATCTATATCGTGATGGTAAAAATGATATCATTTGTTGGAGATGCGTTATACTACTAAATCTAAAACTGAAACCAATAAAAATGCATCAAAAGCACCTAAGCCTGCACGTGAGTACCTATTTCATTACTACATTCATTAAAATAAAAACAAGATGAATAACGGGGTTACAGTCATTTTCATATAGTAAATTATATCGTCATCATATCTCTATTTCGGTGAAAGTATTGAGTTCATGCTCAAAAACAAATTTTGAAAATATGAAAATACTGTATCGATTTACAGTAACCAAGTCGGTACGGGACTTTGTTGTCGAAATCGGTGAAAGTAAATATCTTCCTCAATTTTTTATATGACTAATTGCTGCACATACCGAGGTTCTATGACCAATAAAAGCCAACGAGGCATTTCGTTTATTCTCACAATGGAGGATCGGGAATGTAATATTTTTGAAAAGAGTTCACTTCTATATATAGCGTTATAGGTATTTGTCCCTAAACAAGTTCCAACAGTCCCACTTATTTACAGACCCCTTTAAAATCACTTAGCATATTATATAGATTTTGGCTTTGCTTTTGTTAGCAATTGAATGATTCAAATAGTTTTTGCACCAATAAGCTTCTGCCCTAAATACATTTGCATATTGGCTTAAATTCCTCTAACACCAGCCTGTAATAATTTGCACATGTCATGACAAAGTTATTTTACTTACGAAACACGGAGGGGTCAACCATTGCTTGTCACAATTTAAGAAATTATTGCGTTCATTATAATATTTTTTTTATTCAAAATATTTATTCTAATTTTATATATTTTAATGGAAGTATAGCCCATTAAGCCTGTTCCCGTTATATAACATGCCTTTAAGAACCCATGCAAAGTTTGAAAATATGGTTTTATCATTCACTTTTTATTGTTCATTCTTTTGAACGTAATGTAAAAGATGTATAAAAAATGCTTTTCAAAAAGAGCTTTTTATTTCTCAAATATTCAAATTTCCCGCCAGTTTTCTCATAAAAGTTGATTTTTCAATCATTAAATGTCAACTATATAGCATAAAAACATTATCTTTATGACATCATTGTGAAGACTGAAATAAGGACACGTTATTCCTCGAAGGAAATGTCATATCTAATGTGTCCCTTAATTTCCCTTAATGCTAAATTTTCTAAATACGAAAACTGGCTTGTCAAGATATAGAATTGGTATTTATGTCTAATAACACAGCAATGATTCAGAATGTACATTTAGCTCGTCAAATAGAAGCTATTCCTACACCACACCGAAAAGTTGTACTAAGGAAACACTTTAATGGTTATTCTAGAGCACAGTAACACACGTATATTAACATTAATTCGTTTATTGATAGTCATTAGATTAGAATTTGATCAGAAAATCTGCATCATATGTTTTTCGTTTTCAAACAGTATTTTACAACGATCTAAATGCAACCCCAACATTCTCATATGTTACATCCTTTACTTATTTAACCCATTGGGTCAACAAATCGATGTGGTACTTAATGCATCCTCGCCCGTGAGAGTGCGCAGACCTCACGTGAAACGCAATTAGGCAACACAACGGTCCGACCATCATGATGAAACTTGTACTCGCCTTCGCCTTGATGGCGATTGCCCACGCCTGTATTCGATCCGAGGAACCAGGCCCGGAAAAACCAAAATATGAACCGACAGATGAGGAAATCTATATGGAGATCCAGAAGGGAATGAAAAGACCAATGGGCTTTGATGAACGTTCTTGGGGTATCATGCAGAAGAAGATTAGAGCATGGGATTACGATGGATGGTTGGAAAAAAGTGGAATGATGGAGAAAGATTTCTTCATGCAAAAAGCCGCGATGTGAGTATGATCTGAAGTTTTTCCATGTTCATGCAAATAGATCCGATCTTGCAATGTGAGAGGTCACCTACACATCCTTCTATCAAATCATATCACAAGATAGAGGCCGTTATCCATTTTCAAGTAAACATTTCAGATGTTCAGGATGTCCCCCTACCTCTTGTTCACGAGCTTCTATAATTTTAAACGGTATAAAGTCTCCACTATTTAAAGTATGCAGATAACCGATGTTTTTCTTTAGTTGTATAATCAAAATGCTATTCTAATGGAAATTGTTTTGTTCAGATTAAAATAGACAACCACTTTTTATATTCGCACAGTTCTTAGAGTACAGGGTTGACTTTAAAATAGGGGCAGGATACCGACAATCGACTCAAACGGTTTATCACACTTTAGCCTCGATCAGATTTGCCCTACGGCGGTCGTACGGTGGCCGCGGGGCGCACAAATGCATAAATCATACATCTAACTGCTTATCCCTATATTCAATGTTGCATATTTCTCTCGATTTGGGGAAGCTACGACCACCGAACAGTTGCCATACATCACATGTGACCGAAGCATTGGCTTAAAGTGTAATTTCCAGTATTTAGTTAGATGATTGAGTATAGAGTATCTCATGGTAGCTAACCATAATGTATATATGAATTCTTAATCGAAAGTAGTTTTAACAAATTACTGTGACATTTTCCTGTTCATCCTTATATATCCCTTGATTTTCATTATATTTCAGACAAGGCGGCAATTATCCAACTCAATTTGCATTCATGGACTTTGCAGATAATCCGTATTGGAAAAACTTTTCCTATGTGTGAGTACTAGTATTATATTAATTATATCAGATATTAAAACGCAATCCATCCAGCCTAACTTTAGAGCAGTCCCAGTTCCAGATGTAAGGACCCAAATGGGCATATGGGATATTATCAAAATACAGATATGATCGTCAAAAAACAACAACAAATTATATGTCTTTTTTCACGAAATGTTATATAGTCTGTATACATGGTATACCACTCGTATATAGTGGAGTATTAATATGATTGTCATTTATATATGTTGTAATGCTATTGATGAATATATATGGCTGAAGCTTATAGATTATATCTTAAAATAACCAAGAGAACTTGTTTACTGGCCACAAAAAGAAATAATTTATAATGAGCATATGATAATCAACCACATTATTGTGTTTTTATAGATCATCAATTTGAGTTTTTAATTTTAGAAATCCAAGAACCCAAATGCTTGAAGGTTTTCTACCAGCTATTACTCAGAAAGCATGTGACTTTTGTGGAGCAACATGTGGCATGAGGAACATTGGAATGAGATCCGATCGATGCTTCGACGAGATGGAACTCACTGGCTCAGGTAAGATCTAGATATACTATACTATCTAAACTCAAATTGGGTCCGCGAGTTATACTGAAATGCGACGACAAACCATATAACGACGCGCGTTGTACCAATACCCAGTGTGCCAAAAATTATAATATTTGAAGTTATATAAAAATTGTAATTGAAGAGTGGAGATAAACCTAACAGAGCAACAAGGGTACTTACTTTGAGCATTTTCAATAAACGAAAAGTATAATTTATTTACTCTCTGGCATTATTTATTTGTTTTATTCTTATGCCACACAGCATTGTTACCTTAACTTATTTTCGCTTTTCACATGTCGATGACTAAATGCAATAGCTCATCAAAAGTTTCAGGGGATAATAATCCCCGAGACGGGATATTAAGGGATAATAGAATACATTACCGATCGCAGAAGAATACATTTCTACACAATGTGCGGGGATATAACGATATTCGGTGTATACCATTTCGGTTCATTGACTTTCGGAAAAAAGCTCTACGGTACAAGGCATTTTAGTATAATGCAGTTATCCCACATGATTCACTCTTATAATATCACCATGATAACCATAGTTTGATTTGTGTGCCCTGAAATGACGAAAAGATGATTGCTAAAGGGGGTTTAGGGTTATATGCTAGTTGAGATTAGGTTTTGTATTGACATTGTCATGCCTAGTAATAGTTGGCCTATTCATGGACCTATATATAGAGGCCCATGGCCTATTTAATTTAAGAATCAACGAATCGTGCAGATTCCGTTTGATAAATGCTTCGAATTTCACTTCAAAATTGATGTTACAAAATTTTGAGTTTCTTGATGAATTTGATGTTGCCATGGCTATGTTATTGTCGATTAATCAAACACATGATCATGAATCACTCTCCAGAATTGAAGCCAATATTACTAATAAGTAAATATCAAAATATTGTCGCTAGTTTACACAAAGGATAACCCTTGCTGGTAAGAAAAGAAAATATGAATAAACAGGTATTTGGAAATCGGATTACAACTCAGTAAAGACCATTTCAAAACAAGTGAATTTTAAGTGTATGTGCACTCTTGCCATTTATGCCAACTCTTTGTGTCTGTATAAACAAGAGTCATTGAACGAAAACTATTTTTTTGCAAAGTCATTGCTTGGCCTTGGTTTATTTGGAGAAGTAAAAAGGGTTAAGTATTTTTGTACTTACTACATTATTACTCACTTTTTGGTTGCTCTATAAAATAATAAGAATGTAGTATTCTCCATATATTTCATGTAAAGTGATGATTACAAAAACGGTTCGTTTAGTGTAAAGATAAAAGCTAAGCTTCGGGCTCTTGGTCAAACTATGATAGTAGCGGCCTGTCTTTATTTTCTCATATCTATACTTCGCTCTAAAATGAATTGGTTCAACTATTTGATTAATATAAAACATTTGGCTTAATTTTTCCTCTGAAGGGGAGTCTAGCACAGGGTAAGATGACAAAATAGCTTCATTTTTGTCATCCTTCGAGATCAAGCTTCGCTGAGCTCAGAATAACTTGAAATACGCTTTGACCAAGTACTCCTCATCGGACAATCGTTAATTCTAATGGGTTTCATTTCTCAAAGAAGTACAAGAGTTCGGCCATTTAGTTGATTAATGAGTTCTTGACTCTGGTCAGCAAAGTTTTTTTTGTTCAAGTTAACAAATCATATAGTATACTATGCATCGAAAACGCAATGCAGCAGTATAATTCGACTTTTTAAAGCTTAGTAATATTTTATCTTTCAAATGTTATGTTTCCGTCTGTTTTCATGCATTCGGTGTATTAAACTATTAAACTATTATTCTAACCCACAGGTTTGGACAACAAAGAATTTGCAGCCTGTGCAGGATATGGGTCCACCCCAAAGCGCGCCAATGTCTACAATTTCAGTGCTCCACTTTCAATGGCACCAATGAAACAACTTTGGATCAGGAAAACTACCACGGATATCACTTCTGAAGCTGATGTCAATGGAAGGAAAATCGGTGAGGAAGTTGTCGGTTTTTATATCAATAAACTGAACCAATTGTGTTCTCAACTTTCCATCTCTATACTAGTAAACAACAAAGTCATATCAACGTCGAGGTGTAATCACTAGTATTGTTTTGTAAAAAGGATGTGTCCGGATATATGCCCTTTTGGTCCCTGAGTAAAATGTATGTGAAATATGGTTTTTATTACTGTCCTAGTTATATTTGACAAGTATATTTACTTTTTCATGAGTTTTGATGCATAATCAGCCCCCTGTTGAGAGTCAGAATAAGTAGCCTAACAAAACAAAAAATAGTCATAATCATAAAAAAAACACCAATGGCAACATGTAAGACATACAAAGAAGAAATAACTTAAGACCCATGAAGAATTAAAAAGAAAATCATATTTTTGAAATATATTTAAGGATTAAATTTTTTTTCAAATTTTTGAATTTCCCGCCAGTTTAATTTGAAGGGGGAAAACAAGATGGCTGCCATTTGATGTAAGAAATATCAGAAAAAGTTGCTTCACTTTTAGTTTTCACAATGAGCACAGTTTTCCGGTTTAGGTTTTATGCCTGATTCTGACTCTTCATCACCAGGGTCATGTATAGGGATTATAAAATTGAAACCAAGATGTTGTGCTCAGCATGAATTTTACTGAAATATGTGTAACTTCCCCAACACAATTGAAGTCTCAAAACTGGATGCTCAGTAACTTTGATTGACTATAATCCCTTGATTACCCAGATAAACACCAATTCACTTATTCAGAAATACCATTCAATGTCTATACAATCAAAGTAAGCAATGTTACGGAGGATATGTTTCAAACTTTTTGTATAAATAATTCTTTTAATATTTGCCATTGATTTTTTCAATTCTGACAAAGTGATATGCACTGTCTTTGATGCCAATATTCTTCATCAATTGTGATACAAATTGATATTTTTGTAATCTCAGAAGAAGGATAAGATATTGAAGTTTAATAATATGTGTGATTGAGTTGGTTTTTCAGACATTAAAATTTTTAATATTTTCTAAGTCGATACCCAGACTCATTCCCAGACTCATCCTTTGAATTTGATATACTAGTTTCTCAAACGTAACCTTCATGTTACGTTGTTACGTAAATGTCAAGCTATCATATGTTTCCAGCTATACCTGCACCAGAAGCACAATATGGACAGTATGACGCAGCTTGTCTACAGCGCGTCTGGCCTGACGTTGTTCCAGGGGAGATCGTTGAAACAGCTGCTGATGATGTGGGACTTATCACACAGCTTGTGAACAAAGAGGTAACTGCAGCAGAACAAATATGTTAAAGATCTTAAAATTTATATCAGAATACTAACATGTTTCCTATCTCTGTAGCTGCCATGACCCTTGCATGATACAGCACTGAGTCAAATTAATTAGGTCAAACAAGCAAGATAAAAATCTGATAAACATTCTTGACGATGTCTGGAGGAACAGTCATAAATGGCAGCGCAGTTCCCTGTTAAAGAGAGAATGACATATGTATTAAACTACTCTTACTATTGTCATCTTTATGTTGCCCTAAATCATAAAATATCAAATATGTCTTAAAAGTATTACCTCACTCCTTACACAGGCTGACATTGCTATGGGACCCGTTATTCCAATGGATGCAGATGCTGAAACACAAGAGGCCATAAAGGATATCCAACGATTTGGAGAACCATTCCACTGCGTGAAAGATGGAATATACCAGATGATGCACCGTAAGGATGAGGACATGAGGTTGTTCAGCCTGTGTTACTGGTATGGAGTTGTCAGGACTGGTGAATACAAAAGAATGTGCGAGATGTACGGTACGTGAGCATGTTATGATCAGTTTCTATATTTGAATTCCTTATTCTTTTCGCTAGATTGATCTACAGTGTTAAAGTGGGAGGGTACAGCCTTTTTCAAAACGTTACTACGACTGACAATATGACATATAGCGGTATAACGCAACTCGACATATTGTCGCTTTGTTTATTTGATAGTTGATTTGAACCAGCCTTATCTGAAACTCATCCGAATTACATGTATAATTCTCCGATGTTCTCGATATTTGATCATGTTAATGAGTTTGTGAAAACTGTGTGTAAATGAGATTCACTGACGAAGTATATCCCTGGAAGTAATCGAATGTATAGTTATATTTTCCAAAAAGTTACATGTGGCTTGTTATCATTCTAAAGTTGTGAACAATATATACAGACAATTGATTCATTATAGCTTTCAAACATTCTAATTGTGGCTTGTTTTATTACAGGAGGCATGGTGGAAGAAATGTGTATTGATTTCGAAGGTTGGATGCGTGAAATGATGATGGACCCAAACCCACCTATGAAGGATGGCATGGGTGATATGTAAAAGGGATGCCCAAGCGAAGCACAATGATAAATCATATAATTAGAGCTTAACACAATGAACAATATATCAATGCAAATCCGCTTTTTACGTTCATTTATAACACAATGAACATTAATGCAAATTCATAATTAGAACTTCTATATTTTGCATTCCAGAAAGCATATGTAATCATATCAGATATTTCAAATTGGTTGAAATCTTCTAGTATGATTGTTCATAATAAAGTGGTTGTTTACAAATGTAAACTGTTGGTCTGTCTGATTCATAAGATACTCAGTGAGATGTGATCGAGATTTTTCGCCTAGCATTTGTTGCAGGATAATTATATATTATATGAACAACAAAAATGGTTCATGATAAAGTGAATGGAAAACATTTCTTCTTTAGTTTGTATCGTAGATGTGCAACGGGAGTGAACCGGGTGGTGTGAGGGAATTTTCTTGTTACATATGATATCCATACTGGGGATGAAACATCGTAAGATGTGTTTTATATCTTAAGGGTATATCCATCAGTCATTTTTACAAAAATTCAAGAATTTCTTCAACTGTTAAATCAACAAGGAAACATCATAATTGTTCAACTTTCCTGAGCTTCCCCAATTATATAGCAAGGAGTGCCAATCATAGTAATCGATCCCTTTCTAGAGATGACGTCAATGTGCAGGTGTCAAACAAATTAGTTCTCCCCTAAATCAAAACTATGAACTTTTGTGCAAGTTTACACATTTTTCTTCGAGATGATCGAGTTGATAGAGAGAATAGCAAGTTTGATCTTATTTAGAACGTTAGTTTTTTAACTTACTTTTAACTAACAGTGTCCTCAAGAAAAAACAGATCGAACTTATGCTCAATTATCACCCTTACGTCAAAGCACAGTGTCTTATGTACCCACCAGAGAAAATAATTAAACTCGGTACATTGATTTTTTCTTGTCATGGTTTTATCTCATCCACCATGAAGCGCTCTATAGTTAGTGGCCGAATCATTCAAATTTAAGCAGTTATAAATGCGCTGTTTTTCTACAGTGAAAACGAAATGAACTTTAAGCTGCCCATGTCAACTTGTTCCATCAACTTAATGTACTAAATGACCCACCAGGCCCATCAAAGCCCAAATACACTGTATGCAGAGACATCTATTCATGTTGTAACGACCCTTGATAGCAAGTTGCTACAACAGTCCATTGAATTTAGCACATTTTCTTTCAATTTCTTGTTAGTTAGTCATTCCCCTTGGGCGCATTCGGGTCATTAAAATGTTTATAGCATTTATTTTATAGAACTATAATTTTTATTTTAATTGTTCTGCCATGAACGCGGAGTAATAGTGGTGTCTATTCAAATCCCTGCTATCAGGGAAGATGAAATGTACTAATCACAAGTTAGGTCATGTGACCAGTCATTAGTACATTTTATCTTCCCCGATAGCTGAGCTTATAGGAGAATAAGAACCTGTAAGGATAAAATGTTCAAGAGAAAGGACCTCACATTTTGTTTTTGTTTACAGAGTACATATGAGGTATATAATAAAATAAATAGTGACTGCCACATTTTCGGGAAATAGTGTAAAAAGTTTCACCTCTGGAATGTCCTGTCCTGACAGGACATTCCCTCGGGAAAAATAGTTTACATTATTTCCCTCAATGGCAGTCACTATTTGTATAATAATAGTCACAACTATTGTCCCATAAGCTGTTCGAAATGTTCTCTCCCATGCTTAATGCACAATTGCTGGTGTTCAATTGTGTTCATATAACTGACACTTTCTGGCGTAAAAATCGAGGTGATTTTGGGGAGAGGGACAGAGTGATGATGGTCGCAAATTGATTAACATCCCCTGTTCAAACGTAATTGTTGTCTACATCACACTGTGGTGTAACAGACATTAATCAAAGGAATGCAACAAAAGCATTACAATGTTCAATATATTCATTGAATATAAATAATATATAAACAATAAAGTAACTATACAATCTGATATAATTTCCTATTGACCGATCCATAACATCGTGTTATTTTTGAGAATTTATCTGTTTATTTTTTATTTATTTGCTTAACACTTTTTAAGCAGTGGCACAATGGAAAATTGCAATGCGGCAGTACATACAACAAATACATATGCATAAGATACAATACAGATAGATATTAGATAAAATAATATTTTAAATTGTACAAATGTTATGAGTTTAAGATATCGTTATTAATAGTCACTAAAAATTGTTTGGCACACTTCTCAAACAAGAATCCTTGGTCTTTGCCCTAAATACTAAAAACAACATCTCCTAGGCACCACTTTAATTGTTCATTTAAAGGGATCCAACACCTTACAAAACTTCTTAACGGAGAGGAATAAGGGAAAATGCTTGCCGGATTCTGAATCTGTGTATTTTTTAATGATTTTTCACCGTCTTAGAATTTCAATTTTTTTCCTTTGAAAAAATGAGATTTGCATTGTTTCCCAATTAGAAAAATGAGTAAACATGAATAGCTCGAAATCTAACGGTGAGATTTTATTTAAAAAAATCATGGATATCAAGGCTAAATATAGCTATACAGTAAACTTAAAAAAGCAATGCTTGGACTCTTCATATTCACACAAAGAATTAATTAGTAAATGAGGTTGATATTTGTGAGAATAAGTTGTACGAGGTGCAATGTTCTACAAACACCAGACTACAGGGTGGATTAGGATCAATGACACACATAAAAATTAATTTAAAAATATTTCATGATAATTATCTCAAAGAAAAGCAGTTAGCGAAGGATACGTTTCATTACACTCAATAAATAGTTATCACTTTTGACTATATATACATATCTCATGGGAATGTATTTCCATCTGCTCAAGATATCATATTTTAGCTTCGAAAATCACAATCGTTGGATAATACATTTGTCTCAGAATGATAGGCCACCCTGTAGCAATGTAGCTTTCACTTGAAGTGTACCCTTGAGAATAATGAACTTACTTTCAAATTGGTCTTGCTTTTGTGGTGTATGTGGCTTTTTAGCAAATCTGCCACGTTCATTACTTTCCAGAACCATCTTGTTCAAATGTATCACTATACGCGCATGCATAGACAGATGGCATAGATACTGTATACATATAAATTATATATTGCACCTGTATTTACTTACATGGGAATATAATCCCTTTGGAAAAATGCAAATGCATGAACATATATTTCATCTTATATATGACTTCAAGCTAACATATTATTTCATATTTATATTTTCATAGTTAGTTTAACATGAATAATAGATCCATGAGAACAATATTCTTTGTTTTTTAAACAGATGGGTTTACTGTGAATTCAATAAATTACAATTTGCAAGGGGTAAGTATACTGTATGAGCTAGCTAGTGGCTTGGTATTTTATGTTAGGCCAGGGTAATTAAATTAGTTGTTTCTCTTTCTTCTATTTTTCAAAATTGATACGGGAATGACGGTTTTTATATTACCTTTTTTGTCTATCTAAAATGCTGATGAGGGACGGGATGATTTTTTTCTTTAGAATAACTGTAAAAACAAATAACTAATTTTGAAGGAAATAAACTGAGTTTATGTTGAATTTAAATGTTGAATTTAGCCAACTTTACTGGTATATTTGATCATATATCAGTACCACGATATTGTCAATTATCCTGATCCATAAAAAGTGTTTCACACGCCATGGATGCGCGCGAGGTACGGTGTTTTTTTCTTCTCAGAAATGGCAGAAAAAAGGTGGAGGGGGATTGAGCCACACGCGGGCAAGAATGAGAAACAACTTATTTAATTACCCTAACCTTAGTTCATCCAGTAGTACTCTTTTACTGCAAAGTAGTGTTTTTATATGCAGCTTAATAGCATAAAATATGTTGAGTGAAGCATATGGTGTGGATTAGTCGTGTGACATACAAACTGACCAATACATGAGGGTATTAGCTACTTTTCACATAAACCAAAGGAGGACAGTGCTTTTATTTCAACTGGGAGCTTACCTCCACACGACTGATCATGTGACCATGGTGGTGGTCCCCTTTAAAGGAAGCGTTAAAAACATATTAAATACATCAGGTAAACACGGTCAGGTTTAATTATGTTGTAAAATTCATTTCTCTCACGTTGGTTGTAAAAAGTCTGTGTGTTAAATCATCAATTGGATGAAGGGAACAAAGTTTGCAAAAACCATCATCACATTTTCTTCTTTTGAGGTCGGTTCCAATACATATAAACACCCAGTTCTGGCTTTGAACTTCAATCTCTGTCCAACAAAATCATTATACTTGAAGTAAGGTAATTCTCCAGAAATGGGGTTGGTTTGATTGATTCATAAAATTCTAGTGAAGATTTCGAGAAACATTCAGCAAGAAAATTACTTTTGTGCTGTTGGGAGGATATGGTCAAATATTGATACCATCAGATACGATATTGGCCAAACAAACGCATTTGTTTTTGTGGTCAAATAATTATTAGAGCTTAAGCATGAGCTGTCTAAAAAAGCTTGCAATAACGTACCTGCCCCTTTGCTTAATCTCTACCAAAGGACAAGTCTCGGTTTGGAGAAAAGTCTCATTGGCTAATAATTTTTATGGAAAAGATAGAAATATCACCCAAATTAAATTATGACTATTCAAAAGAAGACATTCATATCTATATTATGTAAAAAATCCGAAAATGTCCGAAGAAGGGGTAACGCTCAGATAGAGTAATGAACTCCGTTCTCCATACCGAGAATAGCCCTTTGCTTCATGATTCATTTTGGTCCATTTAAAATTTTTGCCAGAATTTAAAAGTTTTTACCTTTGCCAAATAATTGCAAGAGCAAAATCATAAGTGAAATATCCCAATTCTTAAATTTAAGGGCAAAAATCTAGAACTTGCCCCGAATTTGATTCAAGGATAGGTTTGTGTGATTCAATTGTCTCGTATTTCCCATTACTTGCACAATGTGCTCTTTACATAGACAGGAGGCAAAAATTAGCAAAAATGTGAGAGAAAATGAGAGAAAAACAATGTTGCAAGTGACTCCTGACCAAAAGTAACGTTTGTATCCGGGGATATCAACACCACGGAATACCATGGCCCCTTATGCACCATTCAAAAGTTTGCGTGAGACCCCACCCACGTGGGCATGGGTGGGGAATTCGATAAAAACATTTGGCCCGTCTAATTCCTTACCCGGGACCAAATAAATGTGTCAATATCCCTACCGTAGAAACAATAAATCTGGTCAAGTATTTCCGACCCCCGGGTCCTTCTACCATTTGAAATCTATTTTAAACATCAGATTTCCTTGTTAGTAGACTGATGTTCGTGAATGTTGAGGGATACAAATGCAGTCCTTTTTTATGTCAACATTTTAATTATATGGTCATAAGATTCTTCG